TCTAAATAAAATATATGTTTGCTAACAGAAATAGTCTAGCATAAAGAARGTATGCTGTCTTTACACTGTCTAGATTACAACTTTGCTAGCAACAGCAGAATTCCCCTCCTGCCTATGATCCAGGCCATAAAGGCGAGTTTCTCGGGCTCAAAGTTACAGAGCCGGCTAGGCTGCAGCGGCATCTCAGCAGGCTGCCCTTTCTTATTATTGCTGGGGTAGTCCTAATAAGGCCTGGAAAATCATTCCCAATGAGTGGCTTTTCTTTTAATTTCCGCCAGCAGGGTTCAAGTACATAATATTTTCAGCAGAAAAATCAGAGAAAAAACACAGCAAAATCAAGTTATGGAATAAAACAGAGCCTAACAATGTTCAGATTTCATCAKCATTCAGAGAAAGGCAAAGCAACTGGAAAGAATTGTTTAGGAAGCAGCATTCATTTTACAGTAATACAAAATGCAGGATTATTTTCCATCTAGTAAGGATAGGATTACACATCTGGTGCACATATAAATTTTACTAAAGAACAAGCATTTTATATGGGGATACAACTAGAAAAAGAATTCAATCTCTGAATGAAAAAAAAAAATACAAAGGGAATAGCAATTTAAAACTATTTTTAATTGAGCTAGTTGCTAATTGTTCGGTGTCTCTCCTTTCCTGGGTCAGAGCTCCGAGACGGAGCTCTGGAGCAATGTAAGTCATGCAAAACTGATCTAAAGTCAGACAGAGRGAGCCTAATGAACTTAGCTGCAAGAGTTTGGTGTTATTTCTCCTACTGTTCGCTTTAGAATCCTCCAGAATTATGGTGACAAACAAGGGCATGTGCCTTTGCTACAGAGACACTAGTTGACAGCCTGGCATATTAATTCACACTCACCTTTATCAACTATTAAAGTTAATATGAGAGACCCTAAATTCGAGCAGCTGGTGTCTATATGCATTCTGTAACTTGTATAGAAAAGAAAAGGAGAAAGTGGAAATACCATCTCAAAGCATTGGAGCTGAGCCCTGCACAGACAGCCTCAGCTCTGGCACATCAGGCATTTGGACCGGCATCATCTAAAGTAGAAGGAGCCTTTAGGTTTTGTTTTTCTGAGCGTGCAGATGTGCATGTAGATATACACAAAGAGAGACACAAAACTATTATTCCAAATTTCTGAAATAAAGCAAATACTGTAACAAAATCACACTGCTCATTCTGATATCAATAACGCTACTGCTGATTCTAGGTATTTTTATATTAATGAAGTGAAAGATATCGCAGCCTGCATTGCATACAAGGACAATTACAATTGCCATAATGTTATCAGAGTTTAATATATTATCCTGTCTTTGTTCAGTGAAGCTTGGCCATTTAAATCACAGACAGTCGTGAAAACAACAGCTTCTAAATAAAGCAGACAGCAGAATCTAGAGATGCACAATAGTCAAGTGTCTGCAGTAACACTTACCCACATTTAGATAGACCAATATATATAACACAAGGAAAACAGAAAGAAAGAAAGAAAGAAAGAAAGAAAGAAAGAAAGAAAGAAAGAAAGAAAGAAAGAAAGAAAGAAAGAAAGAAAGACCTACAATCTTTTTTCTTGTAGATCACCTTAGTACCTCCTTACCAAGATTTTTTCTTGCTTTTCAAAGGATGAAACTTGAATAAATTTAAACGAACTGCGCTTGTAAAATTATTGTCACAGTACTACCATTTAATTAGTAATATGCACTTTTTTTTCTGCAATCTAAAAGAGATACAAAAAAAMCCACATTTGTTGCAGCGAATTGGTTCATTAACATTACAACACCGGAGACCAGAATCATAGGCTAAAATAAATAAATAATAARAAAGTAAAGGTTRGATAACTTCACCAATGATATTACTTTCGTACCCAAAGAATCATTCCGCAAACTAGTATCATGTAAGAGTAAACAAAAAAATAAAAAGGGGCAATGTACACAGATTTCAACCATAGAAATATACAAAAGTTAAAACCATTTTCTGCTYTATTGCACCTGCTACGAATTACCTTTCCTTTACAAAGAAAAGAGCTTATGTTTGCAGAYACTGCTAGGAAAATAGTAACATCCTACTCATCTGCACTGGTCACCTACTGCTGCATTGGCTGCATAATATGAGACTGCATCAGCCAAAACAGACACAAACCTGTCTTTTTTTTTGAGGAAATGTGTGATCCAAAATAGAAAGCAATAGGATACCAGGTACCAATGGACTTTAAAATGCTTTACAGGCAAAAGACTGCCTGCTTGAAATCTAAATTATTATTTTCTTCATCTAGGACTTCACTTGTGTGTAATTTGCATAAGCAACTGTAAATCTTTGTAAAATAGGCCTCTCCGTAACCAGCTTGTCTCTTATGTCAGTGTGSAGAGTGCAGCAAAATAAACTGGTTACCTTCTGCCTTGCTCATGCCTAAGTGGTTTACCTGAAGCGCAGGATGGCAGAGCTATAGAACTCAAACCTGACCTGCCTATGGCTACGCAACCAAAACAGACCACGAGACCTCATCAGGCTCCATGAGAGGGGCTTAACTGTGGATTTAGAATGAAAATCAAAGCCACAAAGGCCTCGTGTTCTGCAAATCCTATGAGACACCTGTGCTAACTAACAAAAATCTTTGTAACTGACGAGTGCTTTAAGACATGTATTTAGTACTGTTGTCTGTCTCACAGTGGCCTCATCCTGTCAGCGACAGTCATGTGCACAGGCAACATAAAAGACACAAACATGGAGATTTTCATTGGAAATAGAAGTTAAAGCTGGGTGGGTGACTGGTGAAGAAAGGAGGGTAAGAAAATGCTGGGTTCAGCCTCAGTGCAGGGACTCTGGAGGCTGCTGAGACTTCCAGAGAGCCGCACTACCTAGAAGCACCGAAATATTCTCACCAAGCACAAAATATAGTAACGACCTACACAGAGCCGCGGGCTCCCAACCTCAGCGCAGCGGCTGTGGGAACATTTCCGAAGCTGCTGGAAATTTACATAYGCAATAGGAAAATCTTCCTCAGCCAGGGGAAACAAACAGGTTTCGGCACTTTTACACAGACTGAAGTAAACTGAAGATGCTAACCCAAAACTCAGGGCCCACCTCCTCAGTTTCGTGTTGGTGTTATTTGATGGTCTGTAGGGACTGCAAGTTACAGACAGAAATGAAGAAAGGAAATGGACGAGTTAGGTCATCCTACTGAAATAGCTCCTGGTACAGAGAGGCTAGAGATAATCCTGGCTAGAGAACAAAGATGACTTTCACGGGTAGGTTTTTACAGTGTTTTTTGTTTGCTTTTCTGGTATCACTTTCCACTGTGGAAAAGTTAGTTATGTATGGGCTTTACTATTTGWTAAGTTTTACTCTATATGAACCTCTTGTAATAAGCCTTATTTTTTTTCCAAGGAGACATGGTAGTGTTCGATCAGAGACCCCAGTAAAACCAGATACACGCSGTGCTCCTGCTTCAGGTTTGCCAAACAGCTTTCCTTGCTGTGCGCAAGGCCTTCACCTCGCTCCCCTGGAAGGCTCGCTGCTGAGCAGTGCTTGCAAAGCCATGCCTTTGCGGGATCGCCGGGATTAAACCCAGGCACGGCGGCAAAGGCGGCACTGTGCGTGCGCGGCCGCTCCGCGCAGGGCGCCACGCTCGCGTTCCGGCGCTCCGGGGGCGCTCCGGGGGCGCTCCTGGAGCGCTCCGGGAGCGCGCGGGGCGGGCGGCGGCGGGGCGGGCGGCGCCGTGGCGGGGGCGGGCGGCCTGACGTGCGCAGGGGGAGCGGCCTGCGCACCACCACCCCCACCGCGGGCGGCCGTTAGTGCGCGGGGCCGGCGGCGGGCGTGCGAGCGGCGAGGGCGGGAAGGAGCCTAGCTGCGCGCTGGCACGGTTATATCTTATCTTATCTCACCTCTACTCCCCTCTCCCACCATCCCTGCTCCCGCTCCCCTCCTCGTTTCCCGGTTTTCGGGGCGCGGCGGCGGGTGGAGGGGGGGCTGCGCGGCGAGCGCGGCCCAGGCCCGGCGGCGCGGCGGGGGGAGGGGAAGAGGGAACAGCTGCGGCGCGCGCGCGCGCGGCCGCCATTAGCGGCTCGTCCTTCCCCTCCCCCCCCCCCCGCCGCGAGCGCGGAGCCCGCCCTCCCGTCACGTGGCCCTGCCCCTGCCCTTCCTCTGGGCTCCATATTGATAGCGAGGAGGCAGCCCGCTCACAAAATGGAGGTAATTTGCCCGCCGCGCGCAGCGAGCGGCGCCCGCCGAGCCCGCCCGCGGAGGACGGGAAGGTGAAGCGCCCTCCCCGCCGCACCCGCGGACATGCTCGAGCTCCCCGCTAGCGGCCGGGCGGGAGGAGGCGCGCCGGGCTGCAGCAGCGCCCTGGGCTGCAGCAGCGCCCTGGGGAGGGGGGAGGCGGTCGCGGCGGTGCCCCCGGCGCTGCCGTGCGCGGGCGGCAGCCGCCGCTCACTCTCCGGGGGCTTCTCGGGCGCCGCGGGCTCCTCGCGCCTCCCTCGCCGCGAAATGGCGGCGGCGGGAAGGGGGAGGGGGTGGCTGGCGCGGGAGCGGCCGCGCTGCCTGCGCGCGGCGCCGCGGCCGCCATTTCGCCGCGCCGCGGGTGGGCGGGCGCGGGGCGTGGGGGGTCTCTGGTCGCCGCGCCGGGGTGCTCGCATCCGCCCCGCGTTCCTGGGAAGAGATTTAAAGCCATAGGTTTATATAACGCGGGGGGAAGGGGGGGGGGGATGAGAGCACGTAGCAGCACCTCCCCAGGGCGCCTCTCCTCCGCAGCCCCCTCGGGACTAACACGTGTAGSCGCTGCCCCCGAGGGGCAGGGGGAAAGGCCGAGCGCAGCTCGCTTGGATGCGTTCCCGCTTCCCTTCCTCCTCCCGCGGCTGCGCGCACCGCGGAGCCTGCGAGGCCACACAAAGGAGCAGCCCCGCGCCGAGCCCCCTTCCAGCCTCCTCGCCCTGAATGGGGTGGCCGTGACGTTTGTGGTCGGGCAGCCCTCCACCTCCTGGCCAGAGGGAGGATACTGTAACCATCGCCCCTTGGGCCTTTCTGCCCCTTTTTATCAAAATCGATTTTTTTTTTTTTTTTGCTCAATTGTAAGTAACATGCGATGAGCAAAATTGTTGCAGCATTTTCTTGGGTATCTTGGCCCCTTGCGTTATTGCAAGCTGAAACTTGCAAGTAGAATCGAGAACAGAGAAACCAACTGCTAACACTAGCTTCCATCCCTGCCTTAAAAGTAGAGAAGAAACTGGATCCCTAAGCCAAAGAGCTAAAAATAACTCCATTTTCCATGTAAGCAATTGTATTAGTTGCTTCAGGGTTTCACAGATGGGAGGGATGATGACTTCAAAGCATTTGAACATGCCTCAATAAAGTTTGGAAACCCATCACATAAGTTATTAAGCTAATATCTTCTTGTTTTTTTCCCAGCAGACGTTCCTGTTGGCGTTGGGAATAAACTGCCAACACTGTTAGAGCTGAAAATCTATTGTTTTGCCGCTTTAACTCTTAGGTTTGGCACGATATACTGTATGCACATTAGGTCCAACTTTAGCTATATACAAAAAAGACCAATACATCTCCATAGTATTCTCTGAATGGACAGGTAAACTTTCATCTTGGGAATGTCTATTTCCCCTCTATTCTCTTGCTTATTGCCTCTGTAAGAGATACAGTAGTATAAATTCCTTTGAGGCATTCCCTAGTGGCTTTCCCTTCACTGTAGCTAGAAAGTTTGTTCTGAGATTACTTTGAGTTTTGTGGTTAAGTTGCAGTCTACAATTGTTTAAATGCTATTTTAACTTGGTAGATAAAARTATTTAAATATTTTTATATGAATATTTTAATTTAAAAGTTGAATGCAGTATTTTTGATGGCAACTATAGAAAACAGTATAAAAATGTCTTAAACTTCTGTGATTAGAATTAGGAATAGGGCTGTGTTCCCCTTAATGGATGGCTGCATTAGCAGTGAGACGATTCTTTTGCCCATCTGCTCCTCAGAGGCCAGGCTGTGGTAGCAGAGATGATGCCTGTGAGCTGGGGAAAGCAGCAGGTGACAGTATGAGAGAGGGACTGCATATTTTTCATGTTGTCAGAGGCCTATTCCTAAATAGGCTCCTTCCTTCTCTCTAACAATTCCCAAAGATTTCTGCTGCCATTCAGCTGCTTTTCCAGAAGCTTTTGGCGTGACAGTATTCTGTTTCATACCTCCCTAGCATGCTTTAAGGAGTGTAATTGCTTAGGAGGTGTTTGGAAGCCGTGTCCTATCTGCTCTCTTTTTGCTGATGTTTGGTTTAAAGCATTTTAGGAGCAGGCTTAACACTTCTATAGAAAAGTATACAAAAATATGCTGCGTCATAAAAGATTTTTTTAAATGTTGATCATGATGCTTGTGATTTTGCAAACATTTAATTTGAAGATGTTTTTCAGTATGAAATTAGTTTAAGTGGTTATTTTTATTCTGAAAAACACTATATATTGGTCATTAAGAATCCTGCTTGCCTTTTCTAAGTTAGTGTTTACAGGAATAACATTTTTAAATGTACCCGATCGAGTAAATATCAATGATTTTCCTGTAGCACATTATTCCATAGTAGTACAAATGTAATTTTACAGTAGCACATTATTCATTAGTGTATATACTACTTTGGCTACTGTAATAAATTTTAAGCAACATCCACATTAACAGGAATTGTGCCAAATATATAAATACAGTACAGTAAGACAAGTTAAGTAACTTAATTGTCTGAATAAGCTTGAAATAAAGCTTAAATGAAATGCTTTTGTTTGAATGATTACATATGGATTCATTCACTAACTGGGTTTGTGAAATACTTGTTTCTTTTTTAATGACATGTAAATATGTTAACATCTTTATTGTGAGCAGCTAGACATGTAAATAGAACATTGGGTAGTAAATAAACACATATTTGGGAAGCAAAGGACTATGCTGCTGTACTACAGATTACTGCTGGACCACTATTAAAGTTTCTAATCTTCCAGAACCAAATCAGGGTGGTTTTTTTGCACTCATATTTTAGGGAAAATATTATTTTCAGTGACAAAAAGAAAAAAAATTAATGCRTCCTCTAGTATTCCTGTTTTGTAGACTGCTTGGGTCACTGATAACAGTAGACTGTGCATAAGATTACTTATTGCTAATAAGTCTCATTTATAAAATATTAAATACCATGGGCATAAAATCTAGAGCAGAATTKTATTGCAGTTTGGGTATCAAAAGGGCTGCTTGCCCTGTTATATTCTTGATATTTATGTAAAACAGCATTTAACGTAGTTTTTTCCATACRGTTTGTTTTAGATTGTTCCTAGTTTTTCTAACAGTTATGAACAGATCTTTGGTAGGATAGCAGATATTCTTTCTGCAGCTCTTCTTAACTGAGAGCAAAATTGGCTGAGGATTTTTGCTCTACCCTTTTAAATATTCTTAATTTTATTCCTCCCCCATTTTCTCCTGTAAAGCCATTTGTTCCAGCCAGAGAGGGCCCTGTTTCCCAGGATTTGGGGTAAGTGTTGACTTATCCAACCTGTTTTCTAGGTTTCCTAGATTTAAAAGAAAGGCTGATTCAGAGTACCCTTCCAAAATGTCTGCTCTTAAAGAAGAAAGAGAGGTTGAAGACTACAAGAGGAAAGGAAGACGATCCTCGCAGGTGAGACTCTTGTTGCTTTTTTCATTTAAAAAAGCAGTTTTAAGGAGAAAAGAATAACAAAACTACAAAACTTTACTGTTTCCATCTGACGGATTAATTCAGAGCTTTTTTGTTTTCTTGCTGCTTTATCACCATGTTAGGAAAATAACTACTTAAAATGCAAAAAAAAAAAAAAAAAAAAGTTAAAAGTTCCAAGAAGTTGTGTTAAGCATAATAGGAAAAAAATTACTTTCCTATTTTTTATAACAAATTTTTGTTGTATGTTTTGTTTTATATAAATATATATTTAATGAGAATAAAGCTTTTTAATACAAATGGCTGACTAACACTGCAGATGAAAATGAGGCAGTACCGAGTAAAAATAACAGTTTTCTGTTGTKTCTGACAGAAGTAGAGACTGAGTGAGCTATATGATGAAGGTAGAGACTTCAGGGAGGATATAGGGCATTTTCTGTCTGTCTGTGCTTGTTTCCTTTCTAACATTTGTTTTCCAGCAYGGCTGGATGTTTTACCTAGTTGAACCATCTTTTTCTGAAGGTGTTACACTATTGCARCCTGAGAGTCATTTAGTTTTGAACAAGCCTTGCAGGAGTTGTATGTATCTTATAGCCTAAGTTTTTTTGTATCTAAATATTGTATACAAAGTCCTTAGCAGCAGAATGAATCAGTATTCAGGCGAGGCGTGGGCTTGGATACAGTATAACTTTTGCTACTCAGCTGCCTGCAAAATAAACTGCTGTGGCTAACAAAAGTATCTTTCCCTGGAAGATACTTAAAGGTTATTAAGTTGCTAGGGAAAGTGGTTCACAGGGAAAGCTTATCCATCCCTGGCTGTCTAAAGGTGTGATTTCGGGAGGTARCCAGGGATTGGGCTCTCCAGGGGCACCGGGCAGTGACTTTACCTGGGTCTCGCTGCAGGGAGCTTGGGTGTAGCCAGAGGCTTCCTCACGACAGCCGCTTTGTCAGGGGGAGCGCAGGGTGAYGGGAACAGCTGCTGCAACTCAAAATGTTGACTGTTCAAAACCATCRTCGTAGGAAAATCAAACTTATGGCTAGCTCAATAAATAGAGCCTCAGTGTGCCAAAATTGAGACGTTTTCCTCAGAAAGGAAAACGTACAGGRATTGCTTGAGGGGTGGGAAGTGTTGTCCCCCTCCCCGACTGAAAAGGGGGTGCAGGTAGACGAAAGCGAGCAATGGGGGTTGTGTGGATGGTGGGAGGCGGCAGTGAGGCCGTTCCCTCGCTGAGGGCGTTGCGGAGGAAGGCGAGGCGCTCCCGCCGCGCCGCCATGGCGGCCGCGCCGCTCTGCGCGGGCGGGGGAGGGGGCCGGGCGCGCGCGCTCCCGCGGCGCCGCTGCGGCGCCGGGACGTGGCGGGGAGGCCGCTGTGCGCACGCGCCTGGCCCCGCCCTCCCGGCTCCATATTGAGGGTGGCGGAGCCGGGCTTGCTCACAAAATGGAGGCGGCTGGTGCCGCGGCCACGTTGCCTTGAGCCGGGAGAATTGCGGAACAGGGCTGAAGGAGAAACAGTCCTCTCCTTCTCACATTGTATAAAAATATTTGGAAACTCCCTTAAAATGTTTATGTGAAGAAGTTGAAGTGATTTCCTGGCCATGAAAACACAGAGTCCCCCCGCCCCCCCCCCGCAACATGCGGCAAAAATGGAAGGGTGAAATGGCGTCTGGCCGGCGGTATGGGATGAGTGGGAGGGAGCTTGCTAGTCCTGTTGCAGCCCGTGCAGTGGTGGAACAGGGAGGAGGGAAGGAGCTGCGTTGTGGGCTTGCTGCCATAAGACTGGCGTTACAGATAGCCCCGTGGTGAAGGACTGCAGAGTAGCATCGTGCATGGTGTTTGGGAAGCTGTAACAGCAAGTGTTTTTCCTCCATAATGAGAACTGCAGTTCATGCTCATGTAATAAAAATGGGAAGGAAATGGAAAACCTTTATCTGCCAGGAATAGCCTGAAAAGTTCTGCTGTTTTTGGTTTTCCCAAGGTAAAAATGATCTGAATTGCTAATAGACAACCCCAGAGCATTAGTTAGTGTCAGAGAACTATAAGAACTATAACATTGTACAGAGAACTGTATAATCTGAATGTTATAAATCATTGGATTATAAAAGAATCCTAGAGCAGCATTGATGGAGAAACTGTTCTTTGTTTGTTTGCTTGTTTRTTTTTTCCATGTATTGCTCGACAAATTTCATTGCTCCCTGGGGCAGATGTGGTGCGGTCCACTTTTCTGACAGTGCCCCCTCCTCCGTGTCCTTATCTGAACAGTGATGGGGGCAAAAGCACTTSAGCTGTGCATTTGAAACAAGATGCTTGTAAAAGTATAACAGACATACAAAAACCTGTATGTGAAAGGCTGTGATTTGATTTGTCTAGCTCTGCTCTCTGGCTTGTGCTGCTGCTGCCCAGGGTGACTCCCTGCAGCGGGAACAGTGGAAGCTACTGCGCGTTCCTGCCGCAGCAGTGCGGTCTCGCAGCGGCTCCGCCAGCGCTCCTGCTGCACATGGTTTGAACGTGCAGCTTTAATCCTGCTGAAGTTTGTTTCGACTGCACTTGTTAAGATACCAGCTCTTCCTGCGGTAGTTGGCCACACACACTCATGATCAACTACCTGACCACGCRTTACAGTTTCATTTTCTTAATAAAAATAAGTCCAGACATTTAAGAGGTATTTTCCACAATATTGAAAGCCAGATAAATACTTCTGCTTASTCGTTTGTGTCTCAGTTAACAAAGTTCTCAGCACAAAATTAGGCCTTTAAAGGAACTAATATTTAATTTTTTTTAACCAGGCATAAAAATAAACTTAAAAAGAAAAAGTTGTAAATTGGATATCCTACAAAAGACTAGACCTTTGATGTCTTATGACTTATTAAAACTTCCTTTTGCCTTGCAGTAGTTCTTTAGAGTAGTTTGAAACTTGAAATAAAGGTGGACATAAAATGGAATTCCTTTGGGGTAGAACAGAAGAATTTAGTATATTGAAAGTTTCTTTTTTTCTGTCTTCTTTTGAGCAGTTTTAAGTTGTTAATTGGTCACTATTTTAATTAAAACTGCACCTCATTAAGTTTTAAGCTCAGTATGCTGTCTAAAACATTGGATGTCATTGTTTTTGTGTAACTGTGTTCTGGTTTGGCTCAGAATGGACACAGATCATTTTGAGCAGTTCTGTTAAAGCTGTAGTTTGTATTCACAAGTGTCATTTATTGTTTTCTTTCGTAGGGCCATGAGCCTAAAGAGCCAGAGCAGCTGCGCAAGCTGTTCATTGGGGGTCTGAGCTTTGAAACAACAGACGATAGCTTGAGAGAACACTTCGAAAAATGGGGCACCCTCACAGATTGTGTGGTAAGGTGTCCAACCCTTGTGCTCTTGGAAAGATGCTGGTGCTTAATGTAGTGTAGTAACGCAGGGCGTCTTCTGCGCTTTTGTAGGTGATGAGAGACCCCCAGACCAAACGTTCCAGAGGCTTCGGCTTTGTGACTTACTCCTGCGTGGAGGAGGTGGATGCTGCGATGAGTGCTCGACCACATAAGGTGGACGGGCGCGTGGTTGAACCAAAGAGAGCCGTTTCAAGGGAGGTAAGTTGGTGTTTTGGTTACCTAGCCCTGCTCCGAGAAACAGTGAAGCTGTGTAGACACTGAATGCAATATTTGGTATTGCAGGATTCTGTAAAGCCTGGGGCACACCTCACAGTAAAGAAAATATTTGTTGGTGGAATCAAAGAAGATACAGAAGAGTATAATTTAAGGGAATACTTTGAAAAATATGGCAAGATTGAAACTATAGAAGTCATGGAAGACAGGCAAAGTGGAAAGAAAAGAGGCTTCGCGTTTGTAACTTTTGATGATCATGATACAGTCGATAAAATTGTCGGTATGTAATCCCTTAGGGAGAAATGGTCTGGGAGATGAACTCTAGTTCTCAGAAAAGCAGTGCATGAGATGTGATACGTACATAAATCAGCAGCTGGGCAATATTTGCAAGAAATAGGCTGGACTTAATATTTAAACAATGCTCATGCATTACAGTAGCATTTTGTTAGTGTTTAATGGTGTTTAATATTTGATTTTCTAACTTTCTGATTGTATGCTTATTTTTAGTTCAGAAATATCATACCATMAATGGCCATAATTGTGAAGTGAAAAAAGCACTCTCAAAGCAAGAGATGCAGACTGCTAGCTCTCAGAGAGGTAAATTTAGAATTACATATGATAACTTCATAGCAATGTTTTTCAGTTAATGTAATTTAAGTGAAATGATTTCTCAGGTCGTGGGGGTGGCTCAGGCAACTTCATGGGCCGTGGAAACTTCGGAGGTGGTGGTGGAAACTTCGGCCGAGGAGGGAACTTTGGCGGCAGAGGTAGGTGACCGGGATAGTTCACCAAATGTGACTTCATTTGCTATGTCTGTTGGCTTTAACACTTACCGTGTGTGCAGGAAAAAAATCTCATCTGTTTTGTGTTCCAGGAGGCTATGGGGGTGGTGGTGGCGGTGGTGGGAGCAGAGGAAGCTTTGGGGGTGGTGACGGATACAATGGATTTGGTGATGGTAAGTGGATTCCCCTCTATTCCCCACTCCCCCTCTCCATTTTTTTCTTAATTTTATAACTAGCTTTAAGTYCTTATTTCCACCCCAGAAACCAAGTCTGCTTTGCAGATTAGCTTTTTACCTTCTTGAGAATCAAGAGTTGGAGGTTCTTGGATTTGTTTTGTTTTCCCTTCCCCAATTCTTCCTCCTACCCCCCCACAAGTGGTGGAAAAAATTCCCCCACTTTTTGCCTTCAAAGATAACCTCGTATCTTGAGGTCACGCTTCGTGTCGCGAAGCAGCTTTGCAGCATTACTGGGAACTGCACAAGGAAGATGTAGATACCATTTGAGATGATGCTGCCTGTGAGGGAATGCAGTGACCAGCTGTMTCTTTAAATGATCCCAGAACGCTTAACAACTCTAAGGCTTCTCRTGGGCTGTTACTGCCTTTTGCGAGATGAAATTGGGGTGAGTGTTGGAGATGGGTGTGAAGCGGCTATGGAAGTTGCCAGAGTCGGCCGTGGAAGTGGTGTTATCACTGAAGCCATTGGCAAGGTGGCCTGTAGTTAAATATGTCCTGATTTTACAAGCAGTCGTCCTGAGCAATGCTGAATTCTGTGGGACTATTTCCCACTTCAGAACTACTCCCTGAAGTGCCTGAGAGCTGGAGTGTTAAGTCTTGTAGGTGTGTTCTTGGTGACTGGGAAAAAGACTCTCCAGCAGTTTTGGCACAAGTGTAGAGTTCTCCTAAGGGCTTTGCCTACTGATGGCTTTCAACATAGAGGTCTGAAGAGGATGGCTCATAGTAGYGACAGAAAGCCACCAGTGTAAAGAGTTGATTAATACAGTGTGGTGGTGGAATTCTGTTCATTTTGGATAAGAAAAAAGGCAATTTAGTAATAACTCTCTTWACAGACAGATGTTTCCTATTTAGGCTAGATAATTCAGGTAGATAGTAGTTGCTTTTGTTGTTTTTAAATATGGGCTTTATCTTACCAATATTTAATTTYGACATGTTTAGCTTGACTCTCTATCGTATTTATTTTGAAGGTGGCAACTATGGAGGTGGTCCTGGCTATGGCAGCAGAGGAGGGTATGGTGGTGGTGGAGGACCAGGATATGGAAACCCCGGTGGTGGATATGGAGGTGGCGGAGGAGGATATGATGGCTACAACGAAGGGGGAAACTTTGGTGGCGGTAAGATGCCTACTCGGACGTCCTTGTTCTTTAAGTAAGGCCTCAGCTGGGCAATGCCTGAGGCAGGATTGTACTGAGGAATGATCCTAACAGAAGAGTTCAYATAACGTAACGAAAGTCTCTCCCATTTGGAGAAGCTTTAATTAAATTCCACAGCGTTGCTTTGCCTGAAACCTGCATTTCAAGCAGCAGCAGCCATAGGTCTGGGGTTTGGAGGTGAAATAGGGGAAAAGGGGGAGGAAAAAGAAAACYCTTTGCTGCTAGCAAGAGGAAAGGTTTCCCTGTGCCATTCAGGCCAGTTCAGACTTGCATGTGAGGCTATCGTGTAGAGTCTTGCTTTAAACTTTTTCCTATTTGAAAGGCTCTTTGCCATGAGTTACCAGGTTATTTTAAATTGTCTTATAGCCTTTTAAGTTTGTGCAAGCTTTTTTACTGTTCTCTTGTGAAATGAGTGACTGACTCAAAGTCTATTTATAAAAGCAGCTTTTACCAGACCGTATCTGGCTGAACTCACGTTAAACTTTTAAAACTTGCTCTGTAAAGCATTAGGTAATGTTTGCATGTTTTTAAGCCAGCTACCCTGTTGTGCTACACACGACTTGTCTGTACAGCTCTCACAGATAAAAAGGAGGTCGTGTGGAGGGCTAGGGACCATAGTCCACAGGGCCAGCTTCGGGTGATGCAATGTTACGAAATGCTTTGGAATAAAGGCCAAGAATAAGTTACAGAACTACTAAAGATATCATGGATGATGATGACTTCACTCCCAACACAAATGTCCTGGCAAAACCCTCAGTTCTTGAATACTCCTTACTGGGCTAAGAAAGCCTAGCTTTGTGGCAATACTGTTTTACAACATTAAGTAGACTAAAACACTGATAAATGATTAGCATCTTCCACTTCAGTATCTAACCAAAACAGAGCTGCCTTGCGTCTGTTGAGCCCTCGGTTCAGCATTGTTCCTGTTCCTTGTTTCTCTGATGGGTGTGCTGAACTGGAGGGTCAATTTGGAGCAGCTTCTGTGGGGTCTGTTGGGACAGATGTGCTGTTTCTCAGCTTAGTCTTTACTACAGTAGTTGGGGCAGGAGTAGAAAGAATTTGCAAGGACTAATGCCAGTTTAGGGAGTAAATCTGTTGAACAGTGACTCATACTGAGCCACATGTGTTCAGTGTAGCCCTTACAGCTCTCTCTTTTGAGAACAAATTGTGTGTGTGTCTGTGTGTGTGTTTAAAAGCTATTGATATCCCCAGTGTTGGGGAGCTTGTCCCTTATGTTGACAAGCTTCCCTTCCTAAGCATTGGACTCAGGGGGGTTTATAAATCTGCGTTTTTTTCAGGTAACTATGGTGGCAGTGGAAACTACAATGATTTTGGCAATTACAGTGGACAGCAGCAGTCTAACTATGGTCCCATGAAAGGTGGTGGCAGCTTTGGTGGCAGAAGTTCAGGCAGTCCCTATGGTGGTAAATACATTTTGTACTGAAAATCTTCCCGGATAAACGTGCTTACGAGTATATTTCAATATATGCATATATACTCCTTTTTTGTAGGTGGTTATGGCTCTGGAAGTGGAAGTGGGGGCTATGGTGGTAGAAGATTCTAAAAATGCTACCGAAAAAGGGTAGGTGTAATGCATATTTATAATGATGATGAATAATGTACAACTGTGCACTGAGAGTAATAATTTTCTTATCCTGTATTCAACAGGCTACAGTTCTTAGCAGGAGAGAGAGCGAGGAGTTGTCAGGAAAGCTGCAGGTTACTTTGAGACAGTCGTCCCAAATGCATTAGAGGAACTGTAAAATCTGCCACAGAAGGAACGATGATCCATAGTCAGAAAAGTTACTGCAGCTTAAACAGGAAACCCTTCTTGTTCAGGACTGTCATAGCCACAGTTTGCAAAAAGTGCAGCTATTGATTCATGCAATGTAGTGTCGATTAGATGTACATTCCTGAGGTCTTTATCTGTTGTAGCTTTGTCTTTCTTTTTTCTTTTTATTTTCCCATTACATCAGGTATATTGCCCTGTAAATTGTGGTAGTGGTACCAGGAATAAACAAAGTAAGGAATTTTTAACTTTTCAATATTTGTGTAGTTCAGTTTTTCCACATTTAGTACAGAGAATTCTATAACAGAAATAAAATGTAGTTTAGGGTGTTTCCTTGTTAGTCAATAGAGAGGATTAATGCATTTCTCAATTACTATTTTGTATTAATTTAAAGTTAACAATAGAAACACCTATTGATTTGCAGTCTTAAGGGGTCTAGTCTCAGTGTATATATGTAACTGTCATTGACATGAGTTACATAGGCATACAGAGGGAAAACATCTGTATGTTACATTATAGTTTGTTTAGATGTATAACTAGGATTGAGTTACTCAAATTAGTGTTTGTGAATTATAGAACTAAGCTTTACCTTCAAATGAAAATTTCAAATTACCTTTGGTTTGTGCATATTTTTTTAATTTGTAGCTCTGTATTAGTACTAGCGCTTCAAGAAAATAAGGCATGATAAATATTTTAACAAGACCAACTTTAGCCACATTCAAGCTGTCTCCAGTCTCATTTGAGATGTATAAGAGATAATTGCAGTTGCGCAAGTTTTGGGTGAAGAAAAAAAAGAAACTTGTTTTTTATCTCTCTATTTATTGTAATTCCCGAGAAGTTCAAGGGGTGTGTATGTTTGGGGGGGAGTCAAGTGCCTGTTTCCTTGGGGTATACGATGATTCTGTTGAATAAAATTACGCTGTGGGGAGGGTGGCTTGGAATTTCAATCTCCTTCCCCTTCGTTTCTCCCCGTTTCCCTCTCCCTCACACGAGACCGCCCTGTTTCAAGTAAAAGAGGTGTCATAGTGAGAGTAATAGGTATGTTCCAAAATAACTTAATGGCTATATACTTTCTTGCATGCACCCTAGGCAATTTTCTGGACACATTCTTCTGACTGGGAGCCAAGGGTAGCGCAGGTGTAATCACTGACAGTCCCAGGTAACGCGTTCCCAAGCCCCCTCGCCACGGGCTGGGTAGTAGAGCGCCGAGCGCTGCCCCTGGGGTATCTATGCTCCGAAACGAGCGTGAAGATCAGAAGAAAACACAACCTAGGTTGTATTTTCCTGGTGAGAAGCACTTCCCACGATCTAGAACAAAAACATGGTACAGTCTTAAGTTTCCATAGGTAAAATGATAGCGTGTTACAGTTTGATTGATACACTGGAGTAGCAAATCTTATCAGCACATCTGGCTAGAAATGGTACTCAATTTTCACTGGTGACTTCCAAATTGAGGCCCTCCCATCTGTCCTTTTCTCAGCTGATCTGACTCTCTCTCAGCTATTGCCAGGACAATGTCAATTTAGACGCAGAAGAGTAGGGACCCAGTGAATAGAAGAAATGCTCTTTGAGACGCTTGGCAGTACGTGGTGGTGGAATTATTGTCACCTGTTTCACTTCTGGGTCAATGTGCAGTATAAGGTAAATGCAATTCCAGTGTAGGAATGAATCTGCAAAGATGTATGAAATGGCTCGAGTCATAATCAGTCATATTAATAATGAATTATAATTTTAAGCAGTAGAAAATGAGTGTGTTATTGAAAAAAATTAAACAATGTTATTTAAACACTGTTATTGGAGTGTATTTAGACTGCAGTGCACTAAAACAAGGAATCGCTGTCAAGATTGGTAGACTCCAAACTGGATTTCCAAGTCTGATTATTCTTCTCTGTGGAGTTTTAAAAACATCTAACCTAAAGCAAGCATTGGTGATTTAGTGACCGTTTTTGTTATTGTACATATTTATTAAGCTGGGCTTGGGACGGGGGGAGGTTGTATTTCAATAAAGGCGTTTTTAAACAACCCCTTGGGAGTATGGAAACACATTCAGCCCCCAACACCTCTCACTAGGGAGTGAGCCACCTAAGTACTGACTTGACCTGTACGTTCCTACACTTAGGAGAAGTGTAGACTCGCACCTGGGGCCTGCATCTGGTTGCAGGGGGTTGATGTCCCTTCTGAAAACTGACCTGCTATTTCTAAATTTCCTAGAATGTATTGACAGTGTTCTTTTTAACAGGGCCTCTTGTAGCTGTGCTGTGACAACTGTTAACTTTGAAAAATAGTGTCATAATAAACTTTATGAACAAGATCTGTATGCAACCTTTTAAGAGATGGAGTCTGTAAGTGACCACTGTGTAGGCGGGGGGATAGCTTAGCTGCTGTCTGTGATGTGGAAAAGCGCAAGCTGCGAGGACAGTGATTAACCAGTTGGAAAGAACCTAGGACGTACCTCTTTGATCCGTACTTTGCTAAGGAGACTCGTAAGACAGGACTTCAGCAGCCTATTGAGTATGGAGAAGTCAGCCTAATTACAGAATGACGAGGCAGCAAGAGCAACAGCTTCAACTCCAGAAAAGTGAAGGCATAAGATACTGTGCTGATAGTGAGCAGCTTTCCAAGGCTAGTTAAATCTGCTTATCACAGCTGAAATATCGAAGAAAGTCTAGCAAGAGTTCTTCACCTCTTGGAACCTCCTTGAGTGATAGCTACTTGAGTTGACTCAAAATCAATAGGTCTAGCATTTAGACCTGAAAGGAAGGGCAATGAGCATAGGTAAGGTTTGCCTTTAAAATTTTTCATGAATTACAAAGAGTAGCGGGAGTGTTTTTTTAACAAGGTAAGAGTAATTTCTTTGATTTTCAGGTTGAATGAAGCTGCTGATTGACAAAATGGGGAATGTCTTGCACATCCTCTCCAATTGGAGGTTTCTGAATGGGTAAGACTTGTAGTGCTTAGTAAAACATTTGTTTAACCCTCATTTCCTTCCAGGCTTTCCTTCAGCACCCTCTTAACGTGAAGGAAAGCCTTAAATATTAGGCAAGCATGGAAGCATCTGTTATCCTTGGCCTGGGTGAGCCTTGTTTGTTGACATGATCTGTGGTCAAGAATCTAGCTTTCCTGATGGGTATTAAATTGCTGTGCTTGGTCCAAGATGGGTAAAAGGGGAATAAATGCTTTGAAATAAATGCTCTCATTGTCAGGAGTGTGCAGTCAGGTCTTGAAACTGCCCGTTAATGTGTAATAAAAAAGGATGTCATAAGGTGGGATGTGAGAAGGTTAAGACCCTTCATCACGTTTCATAGCCACGGGCAGTGCAGTGATTCTGCAGTAACCCAGTAAGAACATAATTGCCTTGATTAAAACTGAGTTTCTCCCAGTAATAAATGCTCGTGGCATTAGTCATTCTGCCTCAGATTTCTGTGCTTTCAGAGTGGCCTAGTAGAGGCGATTACAGTAAAGTGATGCCCRGCTAAAAGCAGAACTGCTCTTAATGGGCAGGCGGGCAAATTCTCATGAAATCTGCTTTTATGCACTGCATTCTTAACTCTTTTACAGACCACCATAGATGCGGAATTTTTTGTTCTTAACTCTTAAGTTTTTGTTCTTAACTCTGTCTAGCCATCTAGTACTTAAATTGTTGGCGGGATGGTTTTGAACCTTGTAGTGTTCTGTGAAGTCGCTGTTTGTGTTGATTGTGCCTAAGTTATGCCAAAAATGAAGTCAAATGGAGCATGCTTTTGCATCTCAGTTCAAGAATATTCAGAGACTCCTGCCTTTTAACTCATCACTTGCTGTGTCTCGAGCATCTAGAAAGCAAGCTCTTGATACTCTAACATATGTACAATTAAAAGCTAATTTGATGCAATTTCTACTGAAAATGTACAGGCTTTCCTATAGTTAGGATGTTCTTATGAAGTGGAAATCTCACAGTGACTCTATATATGTTTAAGTACTAAGTACTTTCTCCCACTACTCCTGCGCCTTAGCCAAAATTAAAAATGTTGCAGGGAGGTCAGTCTTGTCCTAAATACACTATAATAGGGCCTTTTTTTTTTTTTTTTTTTTTCCTGTTGGATATAATACCCTATATAGGGATATATTTTTGCTGTTGAGGTGCCTGGCTAGTTTCTGTATGCTTGCCTTTCCTTTGCAATGCAAATACTTTTTCCTGGCTGGCATGTTCATTGTCCCCATCAAGCTCCAGTTTAGTTTTGGAACTCGGTTAAGGTATGCTCCATGGCAGGGGATCCAGGCCCTAGCAGGTTCTAGCTAGTGGGCTTTAAACACTGTTGAGAGCAAAAAGGCACGGCACAGAAAATGCAACCGAGGGGGTTCCACAGCAGCCACTATTGACAAAGCGCTGGTCCCTAAGCTGCAATACGACAGAAACGTTCAATGTCTGAGGGTGTTTGCTAACCTGAAAGCAAGTGGTATTTTCAGTAGTAAATGCCATTCTCCAAAAGGGACCCAGGCTGATGCAGATACAAATGTTTTGTCATGAGAAAGCATTGAACTTAAGCACATTGTCTTACCGTGGCTGGCCTTTAAATGCTGCAAGGTGGGAAGGGGGCGGCCTGCGCTGCTGCTGCGGGGCRGCCGCCGGCCGCTGCCTGGCTCGCGCGCAGCGTGGAAGGGCTTGATTTGCACTCAACTTCACATCGCTGATGGCTGATTCTTTCTCTACTGTGGGTGCTACAGGTTGACATCTCTATCTAAGATTAGCTTTTTCCTGAGCTAAAGTAATCCAAGTATCACCATAGAAGAAAACTGGCCTTCATGTAGAAGATAATATCGCAAGATTGGAAACAGAGTAATGTATTAAAATAACTGGCAAAGACTTCAAGAGCAATGGTGCTAGTGTGCTGAAATCTTAATACTTGTGGTTAAACAAGTTTAAAAATAGCATGCATGTTACAAACTTAAGTATGGTCCATAATGGATTGAAAATTGTTAAAATAATTCATTTTTGTATCAGAATAAAGTGTATATTGTCAAATGACTAAAACCTGAACTGTGTTGTCATCATGTTTGTTGTTACCACTCTGAGGAGCACCAAGAGGTCTAAAGTTATTGCAGCAAACTGAGGCATATGGTCATCTTCCCACGGGCCTGACCTTTGGCTTTAACATTTTGGCAACTAAGGCTTTTGACCACCATGAATCATCTCTGCTTGGAGCCCGTCAGCGTGCGAGGTGAGGACTGGGCTGCCTTAGGATTCATGGAAGAACCTGGCACGGCTGCCAGGYCTTCCCAGGTCAGATGTTTTCATGTGTACCAAAACTCTGTGCTGTGGCTTCCCCCTTCATTTGGTTGGGAATTTCAGTGCAAAGGTCACTGTGTTCRTGACACGCAGATTTTAAATTGTGAAGTGGTAATGATGTGGATTACTTGATTCTTTCTTTGCTGGAATCCAAACAGGGCTTGTCTGCTGTGTGAGCTCTCTCGGTATTTGGTTTTTTAGCTGCTTTTCTCATCCTGGTAACAGAATTGTTTTTCCCTATATTTGGTTTTAAACATAGGTTGCAAGGGCTTTGCTAGGGCTGTCACTTTAGGGAGCTAGATTAAAACATGGGCCTCAGATCTCTGTTCTCTACCTAATGTGTGATTGAAATACTGTGTATCTAGATAAACCAGAGACATGTGATAGGCCATTTAATGGGAAACAAGAGTCTTGCCTTTTTAGTGCTCTACTACTTTTCTGYCACCAAACCAGCCTGTCTTAGAGCTGCTTTATGGCTCTTGAGGGGAGAGGTGGGGCCTGCAGCTCTGGGTGCTTCCYCTTTACCGCTTAGGCCCCCAACCTGCCAGCCTGGAGCAGGAGGGTCTGAACTGCTGCCAAGCTCTCCTGCTCCTCACTGTCCTGGGGGCACTGGCTCCCTGCCTGTGTTAGGGGCGTTTCCATGCGGGGCCAGGAGGCTCTGTGGCAGCGGCCGCCTCCGCCGGGTGAGCGAGGCCTGCGCAGCCCTGGCCTGTGCTGGCTGCGAGCTCAAGTGGAGGGGCCCTCCCGTGCTCAGAGCGGCGGCTCTGTGTTACCTGGGCCCCAGGTGGGTGTAGGGACAGACGTGTTGATAAGGTGTGCACACGGTAAGTAGCCCGACTCCAATTTCTGTTTTTACAATAACTATTTTCTGTGAGAGTGGGAATGCGACTACTTACAGYAGCAGAGTCAAGCAGCAGGGGCCCTAGTCTTCCTAGGTCTGYGGGGAAGCTGAGGATACGGCCGTGCAAGCCACTGAGCTGCCTACTCTCCACCCCAAATAAAATGGGAGAGGTTGTTTGTTTCTTCCTGGTGCCTGTAAAATGAAAGAATAAAGATTTGTCTTGGCAGATGTGCTTTGTTCTTCCTCTGGGGTGTAGAGGAGATTGAAACTGATGAGAGGCTGGTGTTCTTGGGCCTCAAGTTCTGAACTATTCACAGGTGATTTTGAGAATGCATTACTTAATAAATAAAAGGGGGGAGAGCTGAATTGAAAAAAGACAAAAGACTTGTGCACTGATGTGTGGGAATCCTGGTTTTACCTGATTTTTTTTTTCTCCGTGCTTTCTGCTGGCTCAGATATAAGCACGAGGTGGGGCAGAACTTCACTTTGGAAAGTTCCTGGTAAGTAACACAGTATGTAGAGCTACCTGAGATAAGCCCAGAGCTGGTTCTTGTATCAGCTGTGCTGGCCTGGCCTGGGGAGTAGGCCTGGAGCAGCTCAAAGCCCACTGGGCGCTGGGGCTGAGCCCTCCCCTTGCCTGGTAGAGGGCAGAGCCAAAGAGGACTGAGATTCCTGCAGTGCTGCCAGCCCCCCAGCAAAGCTGCCTTCTCTGTAGGGGGGTTGGAGCTCCCTCTTTTCTGCTTAGCTAAGGTTGGTGCAAGAGAGAGGAGGGAGGCCTCTCTAACRGGAGTCACAGCAGGAAGCTGGAAATGCTGTGGAAGGAGCCAGGCTCCTCAGCAAAAGCTGCTTGGGAAAAGGGACGCTGCTCTTGCTGTGTGGGGCTGCGAAGGGACATGGGGTGAATTCAGGACCCATGAGGCCCATCTCTAGGAGAACAGGCTACAGTTTAGTTAATACCAGAGAGAATTATACAAAACAGTAGCTCAATACTCCGAAACTGTCAAAAATGTAGAGAAAATGCTAAAAGTTATGAGATAAAATAAGTCACATGCAGCCTAAGGTTGGGACATCTGCGTCTTGACTCCAGCAGCTGGCTCTTGGCATACAGCCAAAGACGACCTGCAGAACGAGGCAGGTAAAATCAATGGTTTCATGTCAACACAAAACCAGGGTCCAAGGGGCCCTGCACTGCCCTCCTGGAAAAGGGGGTTCCAGGGCCAGGCTGGACGGGCAGGATGGGCCCTGGGGCGGTGAGAAACCCCTGTGCCCCTAGTGGCCCTTGGAGCAGCCCCCAGGTCAGTCCTGGAAGCACCCAGCCGCTCCGGCCTCGCTCATGCACACGAACCCCCTTCTATTTGCAACAGACATTCATGGAATCAGCTACAGACTTGAAAAACCTTAGCAGGTTCTTTACCACTAAGGAACTAAAATCTTAAACCCTGTTTCAGCAGTTGAAGCCCTTTTCCCTACCTTAGTTAGAAGATCACAGGGAGGATAAAGATGAGTTTTTTTTTTTTTTAATGCTCAAATCAACGTGTCACTGTAAAGAAATATTGCAAAAGTATTTCCAATTACAATCTGCTTTCTATATTTTGGTAAAGTCCTCTGTAATCAAGTACAATGAGTCTTTTGAAAAGTAAACAAAACAATTCTATTTGTTTGCCCCAATTTTTATTCTTACAAATCATAATTTCAAATTCTGCAGCTTTAATATCACCTGAGCACTGGTCCCGGCCAGTGCAATTGGTTGGCATTCTGTCACACTACGGTGTCATCTCAAATGCAACAGCAGTGACAAAGGCTGCCTGTTCATCAGAGACGCATAGAGCATTTCTAGAACAATCAGTGAGAAACGAGCAAGATTTTCAGTTGGAAAACTGCATAATGCTGACCGTGCTTTAATTAACAGATTTTAAATGCCTTTGGAGCRAAGATACCATCATCAGTGTGTGGCATTGGAAGAAAAAATCAAAAACTGTTCCGTGCACCTGAGAGCTGCGGCTTGTTTGTTGCACTGTCCTTCCAAAGGCAGCCAAAGGGAGCAGGGCCATGGAGCGGGAATGCTCCCGGTGCCGGAACGTGGCTCCCAGCGCCTCCGGAGCGCAAACACCTATCCTTAGGAAAGCAGCGAGGAGGCCTCACTCAGCAACTAACCTACTGCAGGGAAATAAATGTGCGTGAAGTACGTAAAAAAGTTTAATGAACTTGAAAACAAATCAAAACCATAATTTGCCAACTTTTGCCCTTAATTATATCTTAAATATAAAGCAAATATAAATGTATAAGAAAATGGGAAACATTACTGCATATTTATAAAAAAGGTGTCAGAAGCTGTASGGGTTGTATTGCAAGAAATTATATTTAGAATGCTAAAATCATTTATATATATATATCAAATCTATGAATATAACAAGAGATAGGAACAGTATATAAATATGGTGTCTTTAAATATTTACATGTATACGGAAACTAGTCAAAGTGGTACTATCAGAAAGAAATGTCTGTTATAAAAGTGAGATTACAAATTTTGCATACATACATCTGCATTACACTATTAGTTTTAAACCTGCATCTTCCATAAACCAGTTATTAACTTTAGAATTACTTTTGCATAGAATCATTTAAAAAATATTACCCAATTCTGCATTCCACCTCACAGTAAAATCTATCCGGATAGCGATACAAAAATAACAACCTGAAGAACAGGAGCCAGCTGTGCTGCTCTTCAGAATTTAGTCTCCGACTTCCTGGTTTTAGGAACAAGAAAGACATTCCCATCCCTAGTTTGCTGCAGTGAATATTCACTAGGAGAATAAGACCTTCCATCCTCATCCCGCAGCATGCTGAAGACCTCAAGGTATAAAGTGGTGAGTTGCTTTTTCATTTGCCGAAGACTTTTGTCATTCTCTCCTTTCTCCTTAAGCAATTTCTCTTTCTCGTCTTTTAGGTTACTCAAATCTTGCTCCAGTTCCACTCTATTTTCCAGTTTTCTTTTCCGGCAGTTCTGAGCAGCCACTTTATTCTTGCCCCTCCTACGTATATCTCGAATAAGGGCAAGCTGGGCCTCGCTGAACTGCTCCTTGGACATCATTTCATTGAAGTCATCCACGGGCAGATTGATGATTTTTTCTACAGGAAAGGGGATCTGCAGAGCCTTTGCTCGCTGCTCATCCCTGGTGAGAGGCGCTCCGAGGCGGCCCGGGGGCTTCTCCTTTGCACAGGGGGCTCTGGGGGGCGCTTCTTTCTTTGGTGTGTTGGGGCCGGGCAGAGCGGGRCCGGGCGCGCAAGCGAGGGCGCCGCTGCCGAGGGGCCGGGTGCCCGGGGCAGCTCCGCGCGCGCTCCTCGCAGCGCTGTCCCCGTCCTCCAYCTCAGAATCACTGCAGCCCAGAGCCCTCTCTCCGTGCAGGGAGGGCTCCGCAGAGTGCTCGGGCGACGCGATGCTGGAATTGGCRTTCAGGGAGATACCAGAGTCAGAGTCATTACACTCTGGCGCAGCTCCCGAGAGGTCCCCATTAAAGGCTTTACAAAGAGAGAAGCTGGAAAGATCAATAGGTTCACTGAGAATATCTACAAGTGACTGGCTGATCGTGTGTGTTGTGGCAGTGTTACTGTTCTTTTTTGTGTGGATAAAGGTGGCATAGAAATCCTCACAGAAATCAGAGCTGGAATTCGATGCGTGACTTAAACAGTTCCCACTCAACTGGCTGGTRTCTTCTGGCGGTAAAATGTTGGAAAAAGGACCTTCAATACTGCTCAGGAACTCTGGACCACAGGTAGCATCCTTCTTCATCGTGGATAATGAGCTGTAGTAATTATAGCTGTTGTGCATCCCTGTTGGCTTTGGTTCAGGGCTTGTGATTGTGCTTACCTCAGCCAGGTTATCGTTCTCAATGTTAAGACACTGTATGAGAAAAATAAAGAAATTCAGCAATACATCACCAATAGATAACAAAGTCTTTCTATATAATCCACAAATATTTAATTTTAGCCAATCAACATGCATATGAAATGAGTGTTATAACATTGCTGTGACCTAGATTGCCAGAACATTGTTTTACTGTGGAGAAGCAATCCAGGGAGAAGACTGTAGCCACCACAGCAGAGTACAGGGCAACCAATTCTGGACAAAGCTACTCCGATTAAGCCAGCAGGGCCTGTCAGTCACAACAAGATGCTGAAAACCCATTCCAGCACACCAAGCTAGGGGGATGTTTCACGGAGCCCTCCTGCTCTGCTAAAGCRCTCCCGGGAATCACGGAGCGCACACGGGCACCCCTGATAACAGCAAATAACAGTATCACTACAGTAAGTGTAACATGATCAAAGGTGAGATGCTGAGCATTGCTAGTGAATCAGGATTCTCTGCAGTCTTTAGTTTCATATCACGAGATCAGTTTCTTCAAAAGATCAGATTATTTTAGGTACTACTGAATGAAACAGCTGTTTGGGGCAGAGAAGCATTCTTCTCTGTGAAGCAGACAGCACTCCCACTAAGGCTCACAAACATTAACTCACCACACCTACTTCCAGTTAAGCTGGCTAGGGCACCACAAGCACCTAGACCTGACACSGATGGCCTTTCTTTGGCTGCAGCAGCAACGTTCCTTGCACCAGGGTGGCAGCACCTCAACCAAAGCCGAAACAAGCACCTGCCTCCCGCAGAACCAGGCACTCACTGAAATGAATCCGCCTCTCTTAAGGGGCCACACTGATTAATTTAGATGAAGATCACACAAGCCTTAAGGTTTTGAAAGGTTTTGCTTTTCTTTAAACATAATTCATAGAAGGAAGGGACTCTCAATTTAATTATCTTATTTCTTTTCAGAAGATTATTCAAAATGCTATTCAGAATTACTGGAACAGATGATTTTTCTTTTGATTTATATTTGCAGGTCCGCTGCTGCCGCTTCACAGTTAAATTGTCCTCATGTGAGGCTTTTAATCCTATCACAACCATAAAGATTAGAAAACTAGGAAAATTTTTAAAACTACAAAGATCAAGGCAATAGGACAAGTAGAGGAAAGATGCAATTCCCCCCCACATTTTTTAAGTATGATTTAGGCTGGAGGGGTCCATCTAGCATTCATTTCTTGTGTTAACAGCATCAAGTAAAGCAACATCATGCTGCCGCACTATAATGTCTTACAAAAATAAAAGGAAAAATAAATCTACTCAATTTTGGAGTCAACCTAAATAAAAAAATCAAGCTGGATATGATGCACAATTTAAGAAAATGATTTTCAGCCTGCTAATTCTTCCTTGGAAATATTAATTTCATGTACATTACACAACTAGTTCTTAGTGAACATACATATATAAACAGYAGTTACATAGAAGAGCCATATAAACAGATATATACATATATCTGTATATATACAGTATAGTGATATATACTGATACTGTAGTGATATATATATATGAAAGAGATGCCTATCTCTTTTGCTGCTTTCTTTACAAAACCTTTTCCCTCAGATAGAAGTTGAAGACAAAAATCCAAATGAAAGTAACTATAAATGATTTACAAAATCTGTTTAAATACTGTCAAAAATACATAATGCATACAGCAATGCTTGTGGAAACAATTCCAACTGCTATAGGCTCCATAGTTCAGAAGCACCACTTTATATTCACTATGATAGTGCTCTAACACTGTATTTAGCGGGTTGGATTCAGAGGCAAATAACAAACTTTAGAGGCAAATAACAAAAATAACAGTCTTAGACAGACTGTTCTACTACAGCATTCTCATAGAGAACCAATTTTCTTTCTCTCTGTATTCTTTAATATAGTATTTTTTTTAATTAAAGCCAACACCTTTACCTGCAACTCTGGAAGCGACAGTAATTCTTCCCAAACTTGCTCTATGTCCTGCATATTCTCTGCATCAGGTAGCAAAACTAAGGCAGGTGATGCAGGTGATTCAGCTTCAGGCCGAGTTTGATGAGAAGACATGAAGACTGGGTTACTATCCATCTGGGCAGGAACCAGTGGCTGGAATGTAGAAGAAGAAACATGAAGGATTTTGAAAAGTATAAACAGCTTAGCATTGTCTAAAGCAAAAGTCTGTTCTTGGTGTTCTACCCTTTCTGCAAAACAAATGGAAAGTTGTTTCTTAACAAAAGCATCTCCTGTAAATAATCRTATAATATAGAAGTACAGAGGTTCCATGAAAGCAGTTTTCATATTAAATAAAAAAAAATAGGAAAAAAAGCTGCCAATTGGCTGGCGAAGGGTGACCTTTACCACATAAAATAGTCTGGGACAGCATGCTGCAGTAAAGCAACTCAAATCCCAACTCCAGAGAGCTGAACTAGGCAAGTGACCCAAGCACAAAATTCCCCTACTGTTATTTGTAGTAACTGGAATGATTGCCATTAGCTGTGCTCATAAACTGCATGCTGACTGCAATGCTAGGGAAAGCACAAGGAACATAAGAGCACCACGCCACCCACACCRGTACAGCCTTGCTTTAAGACTCCTAATGAGGCTTTATTCCTGTTGGGAGTTGGTGTGGAGACAAAGCTGAAGCCACAGCACAAGCTAATGGCGTGGTTGTGACAAATCTTAGTAAGGAATAAGACGGATCCCCCTCAAGGAGCACCACAAAACGGAGCATTTACCTCATTGTCATCTATGAATGGGAAGGCTTCTGCCAAGAGCTGCATGCAGTCATCAAAGGACAGGGCTTCTGTTTCTGGTTTTGAAGTATGTGTGTTCTAAATAGGAAAGGGAAAAAATATCTTTGCATCTTTGCATCTTTGAATAACTGAAGAATCTTCCATTACAGCAAAGAATGCAAATTAATTGTAGGTAACCACTAACATTATGTCTTCCTGTGAATGGAAAGAGCTTTGAAAACGTTCCCAAATACATACAAAAGTTTACCTGTGAAAAGCTGTCTGGTGGCTCAGTATCTTCAGACTCGACACGCTGAGCTGGCTGAATTGGAACAAATTCACCTGTCTCTTCGTCTAACTGCAGCTGAGCGAGCAAGGCTTTCTCCTGCTCTTTTTGGAGCTGCTCTTGTCTTTCCTTTTCAAGTTTCTTCTGTTTCTCAAGTTCATACTCCTTCTGCCGTTGACTAAAATCAAAAACTTCACGCCTTGCCCCAAGGTCTATATCTTGCCTCCAAAGAATGTCAATCAAGTTCATATCCTGTAATAGAAAAACGTTTTTAAAGCAAGCCTCCTTCCCAATGAAACTGGTTTAGAACAAAAGCAAATTTCTTTAATTTTGTAGATTCCTGCAATGGAAGTTTAGATTCTTAATGCTACCAAATTAACCAAATTAAACATGACTCTATGTGCCCCTTCTCAAGTGTATGACCCAATGGTTTGCTTGCCCTGGCCCCCACACAGGCTCACAGGAACAAAGCAATTTGTTATMATTAGTTAAGGTAACATATGAAGTAGCCAGAGGATAAACACATTTTTCTTTCCCAAATTAGCAAATAGAAAACCAAGTTATAGTCAGAATTACGTGACTTCATTAAGAAAGTTTTTTTTTTCTTTAAGAGAAAAATTGAAGAGTTTGCTCATTTAAATTCTTCCAGTAATTCTTCCAGGTTTAAAAATTGTAAAAGCTGACTAAATATATGGCAGGAAACATGGCTGAAATATCTATAATAGCTATATTGCAAAATGGATTTTAAAATATTTTTGTTCCATCACAATATTCAATATTAATGTTAAAAATCAGTAGAAGAGAGCTACAGAGCTGGAAGATAAACTTGTTTCAAAGTCACCAATGACGTAACTGGAGCAATAAACACAGTTACTGAGACAAATTACTAAAAATTTGTAACTTATGTCTTAGTCCATGCTGCCATTCTAAACGTGGCTGACTTGGAACAGTTGAGCATAAGTTAATAGGTGTTAAATTTTGTTAATCATTAGGCTCTGGCTCATCACAGATGTGGTCACTTACCAGACTGCTAACAGTGAGCTAAATTTCCTGTAAATCAGCTATCCTCTGTATACTTAAATACAGCTAGAATGTTTCAGGAGACGAAGCAACTTTTGCAGTGCAGGGAAATTCATCCAGTTTATTTATTTCATCTGTCTACTATCACTTTTAGTTAATTGCACAGGATTTTTTGTTCTGATTTACTTTTAAGTTGTCCAGCCATTCAATATTTCTATGGGCTTTTCTGTGAAGAAAATCTAGCACTCAGCAGAACCATCAATCAGGCTGTAGCTGATAGAGAATTTCATACTTGGTGGCCACACTAGTCAGGTTTGGTTCTGACCCATAAGTTCTAGATAGTAGCTGGGAGTTGTAAGTTCACGGCATATTTCATTATTCTTAAAATTACCTTTTAGCAGCTATGCACAGAAATAATTCTTAACACGGAACTTGCTCATCAGGTTAGATCACCCTAAGTAACAAGCCTGCATTGCATTTCAACAGCTCTTCACCGATTCAGTTAGCAGACCTAGACCTGAAGTAAATTTAGCATAACCACAGTGATCCACCACAGTAAAATCAAAACATTCCCTTATCTCCAACAACTATTTTCAAACAGGGAAGTAAACACCAAGTCACGCTGCCATTCAAAAAGATAACCTCTCTACAACACTTATGGCAAAAGGTTTCAATTTAAAAGGCTTTTCAAGTCAGTGTTTGAACAAACCATTTCAAAATTCTCATTGCTTCACTAAAGATTACACACTATTAACATTCACATTTATATACTGCAAGAACTATTTCTATTAGTTACTAATTACTTTAAAATCAGACAGTCAAATAAAATGTCTGAGTGTTTATACAATGTAGGCCTATATAGCCTATATAACATGCTTTGCYGGGAGAGATCAAACTCAGCTTTAATGGCCAGCAACAAAGCAGTGAAATAATTGCAGTGGCTGTCCAAGACGTTTGGTCTTTCCAGATTGGCAGAGTAAAATGAACTAATTAGGTTCTGCAGTAATTGAAGACATTGCAATATGGCAGAGCTTCATTAAGGGCCAGTAGTTTACCAGCTGCTCACTGTCTCCTCCTGCAGAAGATTCAAAACTGTTTCCTAGTTTTGGAGCATTTGCAATATGTTCTGGATAAAGCTGCAGAATCTGGATTTAGGGCTCATTTCTGAATAACTCATTTATAAGGCACCCTTACAAACACAGCTCAAAAGATGTGTGTGTGTGTGTGTGCGCACACATCTTTGTATGTATATATCTATATAATACATAGGGTTTTGCATTAATAGAGCTGTTTTTTCTCCCTGGTTCACAACGAATAATGAAGAGGAATAGAGTTAATTTAAACACACATACACACACACAAAGAGGGCAAGAGAGAGAGATCTAAAAACAAGACAGAAAACACATCTTTGAGAAAAAAATGCAACGTTAATGCATAACTTTAAGGTACAGCTCCTAAATCTATTGGATATATTTGTTATCAAAATAAGTATCTTTAAGAGTTGCCTTGTTTGTGGGATGGGACACATCAGCCGGTGGAAGGAATGGTGCAGGGCTACACAGCCTCTGCATCTGCACACAAGCAACACTGCTTTTCAAGTCAGACTAATTAATCTGCCTGCCTCATATTGAGGATGTTGGGCTGTTGTCTGAGGGGAGGAAAAAAAAAAGTCACAGTTGGCCATAGAAAAATGGTGATGTGAGGTAATCATTCAGGCCAGTGTTTTCTCTCTGGCAAATGGCCAGAGCTTTGTTAAAGAGAGTTGTGTTTTATCCTGGAGAGCGCTGCCTGTCAGAACTACTTTTTTTCTTATTTGTTGCCTGTGTGACACTGAAAACCATTCTTAAGAAAAAATCATTATATAATTGGGAAAAGAACCTTGTTATTTTTTACCTTGAAAGGTTCTATATAGTCATATTGTCCCTAAATTCTAGTAACAGTTCAAATAACCACACTTCAAGTGAATGTAGCAAGCATTCTTCTATTGAGCCAGCTAGGATGTAAAATACTCAAGGAGTGCGTTGATTTATTCTAACCTGCCATTTAATGCTTATTTATAACTGCTCCTTTCAAGAAAGTACAAAGTTTGGGGCATTAATACAAAGTCTCAGGTAAAAATTAATGGAGACCACATTGACCAGTGACACGCTTACAAATGAGCCACAACCCCCAGCATAAGGTAGTGGTGGTAAAGAAATGAGAAAAAAAAAATCAGGCTAAACCAAACATACTTCAATTTTGTTCCTTCAGCCTCCCCAAACATCAGCTCCCTCTAACACACACACACACACAGATGTATGTATACAGACATATACATATATATATATGTACTGTATTTTCATTTTAACACCAAAACACTTTTTCCTTTCCATTGTGAACGGATCGCAAAAGTGACTGTGCATTCAGTGTCTGAAGTGTTTAACTAAAGCTACAGAAAAGTACCAAGGATGGCCTGTGCCATAGCTACCCTCTAATGTTTAGATCGCTTGACATGATACTAGAGTCAGAAAGATTCTGTGGAAGGGGAGCAGGGGAGCAGCAAGCCCACATTAATATCCAAACCAGAATATCTGCACTAAGAATCCTACGCGAGATCTGCCCAGGCAGAGGCTTGTGACTGTATTTCAGGGCCACGCTAACCACTTCCCTCAGTATCATGCGTATTTACTGTAAGGGCCCCAGCAGCCCCTCATGTGACTTAGTCCACAAACGCCCGTTTGTTCTTTCCTCTCTTGTGTAATTTTTCGAATTGCATCAGAGGAAACGATTGCTCTGGCAGCAGCTGCAAGGAGGCGCAGGAAGAGCCGGTTCTCCTCGGCACGAGGAAGTAGGGCTGTTGGCCGAGAGGGATTTCAGGCGCAACGTTTTCCCCTAATTTAGAACCTAGATCGTTCCGATCTTTCCCACTGAACACTGATCCCTATTTGGCAGGAGGTATCTTAAGGCACTCAACTACGTATTACCATTATCCGAGTGCCTAACGTCTGGGAGAGTCGTATGTTTCCCTGGCAAACGGGTTGTGGTTTTATTTACTTTATTTTATTGCCGATTCTGCAAACACAGGAAGAGCTTCTCCCACCAGCCCCAGACCTGCTCTGCTTTCCCGTGGGCCACAGAAGCAGAGGGTGCCTCCCACTCATGCTTTGCTTTTTTGTTCATTTAGTTATGTGCTCTCCCCACTACACTGACAGCCTAGCTTGGACTTATAATGGCAGTGTTAATAAGATAAACCTAAATGTTAAACAATTCACATTAAACTACCATCTGGCCCCCAATGGAAATTTTCATGTTTTAGATTTACATATCAGCATTTGCCATCTGGGCAGAGTCTGTTATACATTTTATGAGAAAATCTCTGGCTATATTGTAAAGTTTGACTATTAACTCTTATTGCTCTTAAGCAAACGATTTTGCAGTAGGGTAAACAAGGGAAAGGGACCCTATTTCTGTGTTACTGTCACAGATTGCCTTTCGCGCTGTAAGCAGAGTCCTCATCTTTCTGTTTCATTCTTGTTTGGTTTACCTGGCCACTTTTGTTCTTGTTCGAAATAGAGGCCACTTACAGGATAGAGTTAGTAAAACAGAAACATCAGTAGGCAAACAATCTGGTATCTCAGACAGAGCTTTCAAAATGTTACCAATTCCAAAGCACATCCTTCACACATTTTTGTGTGCTCATATGCTTTTTAATGTCATACCTTTTCCACCATAAACTGGGATAATATTAACCAACTATCTCACCAAAGACATGCCTTGCTTTCTAATGCATCCCATGATGCATTAGAAACTAAATTAAAGGAAAAGGAAAAAGTTCACACACCAGGATGTAAAAATGAAGGAGCAGTCAGTGGATATTGCATCCTCCAGAAGCTGAGAAAGGGACTCCCCAAGAAGCAGGGAAACACTCCTACAGTTTATTAGGAGAAGTGGCAAAGTCTCCCCAAATTCCTACTCGCCTTCCAGAAAGTGAAAGGAATGAAGGAAATGCATCTCAAATCTTTGCAGTATTCAAAACAGCATGGGAAGTGAAGATCAAGGCCCTRAGCCCAAGGTCCAAGACAAGAATGAAAGTGAGGGCAACAAGTAATAGAGACAGGAGATGTAACAGAAGGCATTGGAAGCATTTTTAACATTTAAAAGATAGCAGAAGCAAAAGTTAAATGCTTTTCCATCATTATCTTCGGGAAGAATTGATTTTTTTGTATATCGGGATTTATGGTGTGTGTGTACAT